CCCCCCCCCCCCTCCCCCCCCCCCCCCCCCCCCCCCCCCCCCCCCTTATATTTCCCTCCCCTCCTCATCTTCTTGTCTTTCTTTCTCTATTTGTCCTCCTCCTCCTCCGCCACCCCGTTCTCCATCTGTCTGTCCATTCCAATCAGCCTGTCTACCAGCCAGTGGTTAACAAACTGACAGTGTGCCGGATGCTTGGACAGCTGATCAAGTGTTCCTGCTCTCTGAATCTGGTCTGCATTTAGCACCACTTTGGTCCGTACGCGTTCATTTTGAGGCAGTCTGGGTGACCCCATCCTATCTACCTTTGCTAGTTTACTCCACTTTGGAAGGAGGTTTGTCACTGCACCCCATTCTGGTTGGCATGTTCTCATTGATGGCCCGTCAAGACTCACAAAATGCAGACCGTTGCTAAGTTTACCTCTGAAATTGGCTTTTTTTGGTTTGTAATTTGAGACGGAGCAGCAGTCGAGGGTTTTGCTCTAAATTAAGATGGATGAGGTTTGATTCAGACGAGGCAAAGGGAGTCTGAAGGAATTGCCTCGTCCTGGCCCACTTTGGAATAAGCGCTGTGAGTTATCTGCCGCTGTAGAGGTTGGAGTAGCTAGTAGATGTTTTTTACTGACTATAAGATTCTTAATCTGCATCACCTGTTTTTTTTCACTGTACAAGTGTATGTTTGTCCGACCCTTATAGAGTAACTACAAGGCTGATGTCATTGTTGCCTGTGCGTCCCATTGTGAGAAGCAAAGTGCTGCAGATTAGAATCAGAAGGCAGCTTGTGAGTTATGCTCTGGGCTTATGACTGCCCAGGGATAAAAGGAGAACACATGAAACTCAATCCCTCCATCAAAGAGGCGACAGGGAGTGGAGAAGCGGACCGAGGAACGAGAGGGTGGGGGGGTTGGGCGGTGCGGTCGGCCAGCACAGAGGACCGAGGTGTCACCAGGTCTAATGGCGTGGCATGCAAGGAAGGACAGCTGAGCAGCCAGCCTCTCTAAATGGTTATTCTTAAACCACAGAGGACCCAGATCTACATGGCTGCCGTATACTGGTCATTCATTGTCAACAACAGAATAACATGGAGGTAGTAATGTGTGTAAAACATCCCAGTTAACCCACAATAACAAATTCGCTCGCTATCAGATCGTCAAAAATGATCGAATCTGAAATTCAGGATTGGCCACCAAATTAAGATCGCCTTCCCTACACGTCATGCTTCACGTGTGTCCTTAAGCGTTAGCATAAAACGAATGCCTGTCGTTTCATCAGTTGCCGTTCTCTGCAACAGAGAAGCGGCAGGTTTCCTCTTGAGCTGGCTGGCTGCCTTGACATCGATGCCGGGGGGAGTAGAGGATGGTGAAAGGTTTGTGCTCGGAAGAAAGGAGAGCGAAATGGTGAGGAGGATGAAGGCGGACAGTCAAATGTCTTTGCTGGAGCAGAGAGAGCTGATTTTAAGTAAGTCGGACAGCGTAAGTGAGAGGGTCAAACGAGCAGCTTCTGGTTGTCTCGAGCTGCCGAGCGTTGTAGCGGCTACAGAGGATGTTAGCAAGAGAACAGGCTGGAAGACATGACAGTCTGCGGGAACGAGTGGTGTTCACACCTGTTGGGTGGTTGCGTGCCTGATTGAGCTTTTAGTCCGAGTCGGGAGGTGGCGAGTGAGGAGCACACAACAGAGGGGTGAGGGTGGGCCTGCGCAGAAAACAATATACAGAAATGTTTCACGAATATTGGCAGCAGTTCAGCAATGAGGTAGAGAAAGCAGAGTGAGGACATTGAAGATGGCTGACGTTGCCAAAGACAGATGAACCAGGGGACACGATGGGACCCAGGCTCACATCTCGCAAGCTAAAGGAGCACGAAAGAGGGTCGGAGGAAGGCCGGGATGAGCCAGGTGGAGGAGCCCCGGGCACGCTGTGATCACGAGGGTGAGAGTGGAGAAAGAGAGTAAGGCAGGGGGAGATGGGTGAAGCTGGCTGGCTGGCTGGCTGGCCGGCTGGCTGAGCCTATGGAGGGGATTAGACAGGATTAGCTGTGGGGTAACCTTCCCAAAGTGTCAGTCTGAGATCCAGAGCGCTGTGAAGCGGGCCGCCTGGGAATCCAGCCCAGGGGGGCCCCCGCACACAGGTTTTTGTTTAACACGGACCTGTGCCACACTGGGCACCACAGACATAAAGTACATAGAGCGGCATGTCATCAAAGTCAGCGTACACCTATTAATGACTCCTCTACGGACAGAGGCTTTAATTACAAATATATATGACAGAGAAGCAGCACATGATACGCTCGCGTTGTTATTTCTAGATGCTTGTTTTCTGTTATTTCAGAAGGCATACCTGTTCTATAGGCCGTAACTCTGGGATGTGGGCCTTTGTCAGCACAGTGAACCGACTGACTCACTGGGACCAACTTACACAGTAGGGAAAGAGAGGAGGGGTGAGCGGGGGGGGGGGGTGTTGCACATTCATGGAATGAATGTACTGTAACAATAACACACACTCGGAGAGCTTTGGGAAGGGTCCCCCCACACACACACACACACACACACGCGCCTTGAACAATTGCAAAATAAGGCTGTCAACGAATACCTCACATCTAGAAAATATGTTTTCAGCCTGCAGGGAGCTGGCCGGGGGGGAATTGCCCAATAGAATAGAATAAGCGCTGACTGACTGAGAAACAAGGAGACGTGATGTGATTGAAATCATTAAAGCTGCATTCATTCGTTTTTTGACCACAAGGGGGCAAGAGTTTGCGTTAACAGTTGCCGACCTCGCACAAATAATGTAGCGCCCCATTCGAGTCGCCTCTTTCTCACGCAGAATGCAAATATTCACTGGGACTTTAGTTGTAGTTAGGTTGCCTGAGAAAAAAATATTTTGGGTTCCTTTTGCTTGCAAAATGTTTAAAAGAAATGTCCATTTTCGTTTATGCGATAAAAGACTGTGAGGTAAAGGAGTAGGATAACAACAAAATGTCAAACGTGCAAACGGTGGACGTTGCAATTACGTGCTATTCAACTCAGCCCACGAGTGTCCAGGCCAATTTTACATCTTCATATAGAACTATACTCAACCAAATAAAATGTATGAATAAAAATATTACACGGAAAATGATGTGAATCCACTGAAGCTGGTTTCATAAGCTGAGAAATCACCGGACATTATCACATTGTTTCAGTGCACCTAAACGAGACTTCTCTGCTAGTCTTTACGGAGCTCAGGAGACCACAAAGAATCGAGGTACTGCAGTGTATACTCACCAGAAGTCGTGTATTTCTTTCCTTTTCCCCCCCGTCTGTAGTACTTATTAGAGATGAAGAGCCTGATCCTCCCTCCAGAGCACATCTTGAAGAGGGGTGACAGCGAGGCAGTGGCATATGCTTTCTTCCACCTGCAGCACTGGAAGAGGGCAGAGGGAGCCTTAAACCTACTACACTGCACCTGGGAGGGCAGTATGTGTAACTGTTACTGCTTCTATCCAATACCACCGCTTTGCATGTTTGTTTTATTTAATGTTAATGAGTTGTATTCATTTTAGTATTCCAAATCATACTTTTTCTTTTCCTTTGGCTCTATTGAGAGTGACTGCACCCCGTTCTATGTATGTTCAGAAGTCCCAATTAAACAGCATTTCAATAGAGCTGGGCCGTCAGAGACCCACAGTGTCTTCTCCTGCTCTTCGTTTTTACATTGTTGTGTCGTGATTCATGCATGCACAGCCTGAGAGGGATGATATCATTCCTCAAGCGACGCACAGGAAGAATGTTATATTTCATTATCGCGTTAGTGTCTTGTCACTGTGTGATATTTAGCTACTTTACTGATTTAGTGAAGATTATGTCGGCTGTTTAAGTCATACCTGTTGTGTTATTCCTCTTCCTTAAATGTCCTCTTCGTGCCTTTGTCCGCTTTAACAGCCTTCCGGATAATTCCCTACCCTCTGGAGAAGGGTCACCTGTTTTACCCTTACCCAGGATGCACAGAAACAGCAGACAGGGAACTGCTGCCCTGTAAGTATATACATAGTCTACATGCAGTCCATTAATGTACCATCGCTCACAATTTCATTGCGTAATCAATCGCCCTCTCACTATTCAAACCCCACGTCTATTCAAAATGCTTTATTTCTTTGTTTACCTGCACCGGTTACGACTTTGACTCGCTCTCTTGTTCTGACCGTCCTCGTCTTTTTCGCTCCAGCGTTCCACGAGGTGTCCGTGTACCCAAAGAAAGAGCTTCCCTTCTTCATCCTCTTCACAGCAGGCCTTTGCTCCTTCACTGCCATGCTGGCCATGCTCACACATCAGTTCCCTGAGCTCATGGGTGTCTTTGCCAAAGCAGTAAGTTCTTCAGCTGTACACATCGCAATTTACATCTCAAAGGTTTCTGCCGTACAATTTCATAGACGCTGATTCAGACGGTCCACGGCTTCATCTTTACATAAGCTGAACTTGTGTGTAAAGTTTGCTGACCGCTCACATCTTCGGTTAATCTCTGATTGGGTCTGTGCTTTAAATGCATGTTGTTTGTAACCTGAATCTTTTAAACCCCCGTTGGTAATTGCTGCCTTCCATCACTGTCGGTAACACTGGAGGCTCATGGGAGTCGTGTGCTGTAAAGTCTGTGTTTCCCGCCAAAACAAGCTGTAGCCCAGCTTAAGCTATCAGTGACCACAGTTGGATGATGCAAGCGTATCGCCCTTTATAAGCAACATTTTTCAAACATAATTTCGAAAAAGTTGAACGCACGCATGACTTCCTTTTACTGTTTATTTATGACAGAAGTGTTGTGCTCTCTGTTTTTAGCTAGTTTGGCAAACTCCTTCCTTTGGCGCACCCTTTTGTTTACGGTCCCACTGTTTATTAGGGCCTGCCTTTACATAGACACGTAGTAAAAACAAGGCCGCAGAGAACGTCTAGTGCTCTTCCTTTTGTTATGGGAAAGATTGAGGGCAGATAGGATTCTTACAGCAGCCCCGGCGAGCCTGGTTTGCGTAATGTTCATATGGAGTGCGTGAAAGCCAGTGAGGGAGGAACACGGAGGGACCTCGCTGCCTTCTGAGGAAAACCAGATTCCTCTGAATCTGCTGCTCTTGAACAGACGAGCCAAGACAGTCGGTGGTGGTGGTGGTGGTGGTCTGCCTTGCCTTTATTTATGGACACCAGACATGTATAGTGTAGCAGTTGATTATGCGTCATTTATTAAATGGGATTAGAGGCGTACTTGATTTGCACTTGTCTGGCCAGACTAATACATCCACTTATGAGGCTATGAAAGTGTCAAGTGTATCACGCACACCTCAAGCAGTTTCAGGGAGAAACCATATTGTAATATTTTAGAGGACATTTCACTGTTATAGCAACCTTACATCACTGACTTATGCACATAGCTATTATACTGTATAAGCTAGATCCTAATCTTACATCTAAGTGCATATATTCCCTGCTGGTAATCATGAAAATGAGTGTTTGAGCCGTTCCCTTTAAGTATGAGTCGTATTTGTCCGATTTGGGAGAGACAAAGTCATTATTAATCCTAATAAGTCAATCGTCAGATAACATGAAGTGTATCCCTGAATCAGAAAAGTTAATTGAATTGTATGTGATCAACGCTTCATATGGAAAGCATCGCTGCTTTGTTTTTGTCTTCCCTGTACTCTGGAAAAGCTTCTGGACTGATGTGCTGCAACTCAAATACATATTGCAAATCCTGCTGAGCATCTTAAATGGCAGGATCTATTATTTAAAAAAAAAAATCAAATGGCAAGTAAAAAGTTTAAATATCTTTTTATTTTGGCCTCCTGTTTTTATTTTTCTATTTTGAGCAAGATCAATACTCCTAATATCACACCGGTCTTGTTTCCAGAAAGAACACCAGGGGTCTTTGTAAACACATCAAACTTTATAGTGGATTGAACATTTGTTTAAGTTATTATTTTCCCCGTGCACGTTAGTCTGCCAGTCTACCAGGGATGAGCTAGAGCACAGCGTCTGGCTCTATGGGCTTCTTAATTAAATCTAATAGAAATGTTTATTTTCCCTTTGAAACGTACTTTTGGTTAAAGTTTTACGTCAGGCTTTGAGTCAGAATGCACTGCATGAGTTGCATAACATGTTAGAGAAAACCGTGAGCGTGTTACACTTAAACATTATCAAAGAACAAATGGGAAGAGGTTTTAAGGCTCATTCTGCTTTTCTCTCTCTCAGTTCTTCAGCACACTCTTTGCACCGCTGGGTTTCTTCGCAGACAAGATGGAAAGCTTCATGCCGTCCAGTTTTTGGCACCAGCTGACTCGAATCTGACCCCATCTCACATACACACACACACACACACACACACACACACACCAATACCACCACCACCCCAAACCCTCAGACAAAAAGTGTTTGCTCTCCTGTCTTCAGCATTACTGTCCACTTGCTGCATTGTTACTGATTATGTTGGCTGAGGTTGTATCAACATGGCGAAGCCACTCTTAGGATGCCCTCCCACACTGTTCCAGCGGCCACAGTTTTTCCAAGAACGCATTTAGTGAACACCATCTGCAATGATTCCAGTCGTTCGTGTGTCTTCACGTTAGCCCTCTGCAACATTGTGGTTTTGGAGTTTCCCACAAAGCCTTGTTCCAGATTTTTGGTGCAAAAATGAAGTAATGAGTTAGAGGCACTGCCCTGTTCCATCACAATAATAAATAAATCGCACACAACAAAAAAAACAAGAAGCTAAAACGGCATGTTTTTAATACCAACTACTGTCAAGTCAGATGAGTTGGTTTTAACCAGTGTGTTACTGACAACAGTATGTACCTTTTAAGGATGTCCCTTGTAGAATATGTTTACCAATATGATCCTGTTCCTCTCTTTTACCTGCTCAATTATTTGTCTATTTTACAAAAGATCCCACTGGATATTTGGGATGGGACCCGATGTGTCCCACATCAACCCTCCGTGCACCACAGACATCCAGCGGGGCAGATTTAAACGTCTGTAAGGCCTCCTAAAAACAGAGCTGTGATTTACAGCCTCGAAGTGCCTGCAGTGTATACAACGCCTCTGCAGCTCAGCAGTTGTTACCACGGGATGACACCTCGGCACCATATCACTGGGGCAACTGTCGCCCCAGCAACATTGAAATGTAAATGGGATCGTCACCGGTCACAGTTCCGCACACTCGTTCCCGCTGATTGCACGACAAGATGTCATGAGTCAGTGCGATAGTCCACTTCTCAAACGCCAAACAAAACAAGTGAAAGCAGCACACGTTGCAGTGGAATCAGCTGAGGCGACGTGAGGCTTGCTGTAATACTGGAGGTAACAGTATTTCTAAAATGCATCAACATTTGCCGACGGGTGGAAATGTGAACAGGCATGCACAGACAAATTCTACAAAGTAAGTTATTATTTTACCTTTTTATGTCCAAATATCACTTGCTCTGCCTCTGACTGCGTCTGTTCATTTTGCCAGTAATTGTACATGAGTTGATTCTTCTGTATCTGGTTTAGTTCCGACTTTATGAATTTACTCATCTCTGTATTATCAATTAAGATGCCAGCGTCACCTTGTTGTAAAGTATAATGTAACAACCTGTCAGAAAGAAACAAAAAAAAGCCTCTAAATGTGTTAAATAATCCTGTAATTGAAAAAAAAGAAAACAATTGTTGCACCACTTGGTTCATGAATGATACAAAACATCCCAAATAGTTTATTACATTAACAGGTCTTTTACATTTTGAACTACTTAAAGCGGACACATTTACTTTATTTTGTAAAGTGATGTTACTTGATAGTTATTACATTATCGTTACATTATTACTACAACAATATAGAGCCCATGCCCTGGGATGTACGTGACATCCTACTTACAAATCTTTACTCTACACGTTATAAAACGTGTGACAATAAAGTGCCTTTTAGTACGTCACAATAGTTAAACCATCTTGACAATGGTTTAGCTATTGTGTAATTTGGCATTAACTGAACCTACGATATTGATGTCAAGTCGAGTGGCAACTCTGTTAAATTTTGATGGATTCAATTTGATAAATAGATGCCTTCAAATGTAATGTGTAACAGAATTGTTGATTAGCGTTGCTAGATACAGCAGTCAAGTAACGATGGCAAACGTACTTGTGTAAAAGTAGAAAAGGGCACGCTGGCGATGATTTATATGGTGATACAGTATGTTGCAAAGTTGGATTATGATTTTAATAACCCTTATCCGCTCCAAACTACACAGATTCTGTTTTACATCTCACTGGTCTGTAATATTCAATTTGTGGCACTTGAAATGTGACATTTTAAAGTGTACAACCGAAATACGAAAGTTCATGCTGAAGACAGGAGAATGTTTGAACAAATTGTAACTACCCTTCGATGAGTTTGAAAGCAAAACTCACAATAAATTTCTGTTTCAGTGCAATTTATTTCCTTCTGTTTTGGTTGTTGACGTCGTCTGGTTTACTGTTTAGAAATGCAGAATGGGTATTCTCTAAATGAATGTGTAGATGCTGATTACTTCAATTTCAGACAAGAAAAACATTTGATAAACAGATAATCTCCAAAGCAACATATTTTCAACATGAAGTGAAAGATATTTAAACTCTTTACTTTTTTAATGTTAGATGGATTCTCCTTCATATTTTGAAATCACGTGTGTATTGATGGGGAGTCGGTATGTCTTGTTCAAGGACAAACTCCTCGCTCTGCCACCCTGCTGCTGCTGCTGCTCCTGGACTATATAAAGCCAAGAGCCATCATTATGATTACACCACTCCACCACCATCAGCAGATGCTTTTATGTGGCAAGTTCTCAGCGAGCCACTGGTGCCATAATCATACTCCAAACACTCGTGCTCAAGTGGCGAGCAATGCAGTAATGAAAATCGCTGTTGAGGATTGTTGACGGGTGCTCAAGTGTCTCGCTCTCAGTGCCGGAGCACGATTTTCTCGGCTGCATGTCGAAACACGAGTTGTTCACTAACCTCCAGAGTGCATCAAAGTCAGGGTAACAAGAGAGAAAACAGAAGATATAGGGTAAACATGTCAACAACAAATATGTAATGAAGACAGAGTAGACGTTTCATTTGATCTTCTCATGCCCTGTATCATAAGGTAGGAGATGTTTGAGACATTTATGGCCATAGTCAGAAGGGTTAATAAGAAAAATTAAAATGTTGATTCGGACCATATAATTGTGTGGAAAAGCCACGCAGGGGTTAATTATGTCCCATGGAGACACACAGACACTTTAAATCTCCAGTGGGAACTGTCCTGACAGTTGACCCACTAAATGAAAGTTTTGTGCACTACTGCCCAGCTGCCAGCCCAGTAAGCTCACCAGCACGATGAATTCATGAACTCTTGTGTCCCTGGACCTTTGCCCAGTGTGTCTGAAGGTGACATAAAGTTTGAGTTGGACTGAAATCTCCTGAAGAATCTGCCTCAAGTTAAACAAAAATGAAATGAGGTTTCATCGACTTATGAGTTATGACAACATGAGGTATTTCATATTGGGTTTAGTCTTTTTATATTTCCTGATGACCACCCAGTGAGTTAATAATGAGCTAACAGGCAACATTAGACTACAATGAGTCACGGAGACTGCTGCCTTCTTCTCTTTCTCCCAAACTGTCCATCACATCTGACTCAATAAATCCTAAAGAGAAGCGTGTACATATCCAACACTCGGCAGTTTTTTTTTTTGTTTTTTTTTAACCTATATTGTTGTTGGGTATTTGATTACATGTTATTTTGGTATTATTTTAATTGACTGATTTTATTTACCTCACTACAGGCCTTAACTATTACATAAAGTGTATTGTGATTATTATACAGTCAGGAGACATATTCGACCTGCTGGAAAACAAATCAAACGCACCCTCGTGTGATGGGGCGGTCTATTTGACCTGTCAGTCAGTGCCCTGCCCGCTGCTTTAATCTACTAGCCTGCTGCTAACATTGCTTGTTTGCAAACAACACTTCTGAATCCACTCGTTACTAACAATGTAGCGTTTCATTACGAAGCTTTAACGCCACCTGCTCGCGGTCAAGTCCTCCTTAGTGGAGTAGCGAGCGAGACAGAATCCCCCGACCTTCCTGCTGGCTGTCAGAACCCAACAACTCCTCTTATCAGCGATTCACCAGCTGTGAGCCGGAAGCACGTCACAGTTCACAGAGACTGCTTCACTTCGCCAAGGTAAATGCTGGTTTTGCTCACGAGCTCATTTTCAGCGGATGTCTTGGCTCTGCTCTGACATTTCTCTGCTTGGCAATGTGAATGACCTTTGACCCTGCAGATTTGCTAATGAGCAGTGCTGTTTCTCTGCTGCTCCTGCTGCTGCTTTGTGTTTATTGTTTTGTACAGTCAATCATGCTGCTTTTATTCTGTTGTGAAAATTCTCATGCTTGAATATTGTGAGTATTAATGAGAGCGGTAAAGAGGTTTGGTGGCATGTTTCGCCCCTCTGCTTCTGTTGTTTTGGCCATTATTTTTTCTATTTACTCCTTGCATGGTCCATAGTGGAGCCTGATGTTGTTTATTGGCTTTAGGGAGGTAAGCATACCTGTTTCCTTGCTACACTAAACAGCCGTAACGTTTTATCCGTGTACTGTTTTCTGTTGCTTATGAAATTTCACTAAGAGGACATTGTCTGCCTACGCCATTTTTTTTCTTTTCTTAATCTGCAGGTGTGTTGATGGTGGATTGACTTTAGTTCACAAAATAGAATATTCCATAATGGTATGTGGTGCTAAGCAGGAAAGTGGCCACAATGCAGATGGTGTTTTTTGCGGCCTGTATGAAATGGATTTCACATAATGGCTGGTGTCAGGCTCTGTGTCTAATGTGGCTCTCAGGGGACAGTAGTCATCGCCACTCCCCAGTCTCTTCTGTGCTGATCTTGACTTGGTGTATGGTTGTAGGGAGTGCATATATCACTTCTGCACATAATCTGTATCCACAAGATAAATCCGCTGAATGAATTTAGGGATTATGCATTTTGGTCATTAAAACATGTGCGTCAATAGCCGAGTGCCCTATGCTTGAGAAAGACGCTGAACCCCAATATGCTCTTTTATTGTACGTCACTGGGGACATAAGCGTCAGCTTGAGGCCTTTACATGTAATTAACTGGAGTATTGCTGTAGTAACATAATTCACATTGTGTTGCCTTTAGTTTGTGGGAATCTTTTCCTTTGTCAAACCTATAGAAACGTACTGTACGAGAGATTTATAGCTGGATTCTCCCAGTAACAAATGAGTATGATGTCACTTGGCAAGGACAGTAAATATACACTAAAGCAGCTATAGTCAAGTCCAATTGCATGTCCACATAAAGCCTTTTAATTACTGCTGATAGGGTCATGAGGGGAACCCTCTCTTCCAAGAAAAACAATGAAACTTCTGGGACAGATTTTCAACACTAAATAGTCTAGAGAGCAATAATTTCACAATGTATACATATCAACATATTTCCCATATTGCTGTACATCATAGATATTCATCATATGATTAGAAGGAGTACAGTGTTTTGGACCGGTCAGACAAGTTCAAGGAGAATATTAAACATGTTTAGTTTGAGACTGACACCACGCTGAATTGTTCTCGACTCATTACAGTTTGTAAGCATGGATTACAACATTCCTCTCCTCTGGCTTTTCTGAATGTGAAACATCCGTGTGGACCACACTGTTAGTCTTTCCCTCGGGCCAATTTTAGCTCCGAAATGTTGTCAAATTGAGATGCCCATTTGATATCACTATGATGACAGAGAATGCCTGCGATGCCACTCCTGTTATTTTTACAGAGTTCAACTGGATCACACGTTGTGGGAGACAAAGCGGCGCGGATACTATGACAGATTTAAACATCAGCAAAGTATTATTAATCCTGTGTGTGTGTGTGTGTGTGTGCACGTGTGCGTGTGTGTGTGTGCGCGCGTGCGTGTACAGATTAGCTAATTGCTCGACGAAAACGTAACTTTTCAAAGAAAGTGACTTCCTTGAAGACAATGTTACATTTAAACTTTGGCGATGTTTAGTGATGTGCCATCTGCCAGTCCAGTTATGTTTCTGCAAAATGTACTCCGGAATTCCCTGACAGCGAGCTGACCGAACTTTAAAACACCGACGCTGTTGGTTGCATTATCTTGATCCTCTCTCTGCCATAACTGAATTCTGGGCTAAAACACAGGAGACCGGAAGACCTCTGATTGGAGTGACAAGGTTTAATATAGAGCCAGTGAGGTATTTCAGGACCTGCATTTCAAAGGTAAAAATACTCCCTAGACAGTTATACAAACTGGGACACTGTTGCACCCAACGCTGAACGAGGAAAATAATAACTTAGGTGTAAAAATGGGGCATCCCCTGCATAAATTCATGCTATCAGTTACAGATACACATATTGTTTTGTGTTGGCTGAACTGTTATATGAGTTATACATCTAAAAAAAAATGTATATCTTTGAATGTGATGTTGGAGTTGTGAATAGCGACCTCAGGTACGGTAACTGTGACGTTCACCCTCAACCTATCAGAGTCCATAGTACGGATCAGTGCGGGCCCGGTGGTTCCCAATGTGGATGCAGGAATAACATGTTAAATTTCAAAACGGACTTAAATTGTCAGTGTTGTGCTTTATCACATTCGGTTGAACTGGGGAATGGAAATATGAACCTTTTGAGGGCCAGAGCCCCCCCACTGTACTGTATATGTGAACAGCTCTCACCTTTCTAATCTTTAAGAAAAACACAGCCAATGTGCTCTTCATGTACATTTAAAGTAGGCTCCTTTTGTTTGCAATTAACTTTTGACTTGTGAACGTTTGACACGGCGTGTCATTTGGCTTCGTTCAAAGCACTTCGCTGCAGCTCTTCCCCCCCCCCTTCATTACGTGGACTTCAAAAAATTTGTTGACCCTCAGCATCCACAGCTTGTTGTCAGAGTCATTTAGATCTACAAGCCCCCTCTGAGGGTTGTGTCTCCAAGGCCGAGCATGATGGTGTCTGGCTGCAGTACCAGATGTTGAAAAAGTCAAACTCAGGGTGCACAGCTACTTGACTGCTCCTTCTGCAACGTCTTGGCCCAGTTTCATGAAATACTTCACTCCTCAAAAAAAAAGCGGTCGGAGCCAGTGAATATGCGCACAAAGGACTGAAAGCACAGTTGCTAAAGATTGCCTTGTTAAAGTTTTCTGTCACAATACGATGACAGAAGAAACATGCTGTGCTGGCCTTTGCGATGAAGACTGAGCGATGAGAAAGGCTGCACAACCTTAAGATACAACTCCGCACTGAGAAGCATTGGAGACAGAGGGTGTATGACAACAAGGACCTCATACAAATATACATTTTTAAACAGAAAGTTGTGTTTTTTAATATTTTCCTGTATAATTAGGATCATCAGCTTTACAGTACATATCTTGCTGTTCAGTTCTAGTTAAGATCTGCGACAATTTAGCAGCATATAAATGTTTTCTAATGTACATTCTCAGGCCTTTTAGTTTGAGGGAAGTAGCATTATAAGTTGTTAGCAGCGTAAACTGTTGGAGGCACACAGCTGTGGTGTGGTGGTGTCTGTTAAAGCTGGCAGTATTGAAGGTGAACCACCATTGTTTACTGACGTACTGAACCTTCATCACATCAACGGAAAATCTATTTCTTTATATATCCAACTGAGAACAAACAACACACAGGGGTAAAAAAACAACACATTAGCTTGAGCGTAAAGCTCCTGGACAGTGATCCAAGTTAAAAATTATGAAATGTGCCTCAACATCAGTGATCCGTAGCTTTAAGCTAACATAGAACCAATGCAAGATGTAGTGAATGTTCTTTTCTTTTTTTCTTCTTCTTTTTTTACATAAACAAAATGAAAAAGCTGCATCTGAGTAAAGTACTGTAAGATTTCCAAACATTTCTATAGCATTCTGGAGTTTACTGCCATCAAAGTAGAGGCATGAGTGGTGGATGAAGAAGAAAAGGAAACAAACATGGCCAAGAGAAAGTAGAAGTAGGTAACTTATGGCGAACAACAAAGGCTGCAGGCATGATGGCTAACCGCGGCAAAAACAGCTGCTTTGTTAGAGGCATGTTGTTTAAGGTACTGATTAGGTTGTAACGGTATGAAATTTTTCTTTGAAATTATCACAGTATTAAGGTACGGTGATGTACGGTATTACATTAGTAGTAGTAGTAGTAGTAGTAGTAGTAGTAGTTGCAATGGCCCTAAAAGGAACAAGAACCGAATTTCAACATACAAAATTAAAAACCTGATTTATAAAATAGTATGGAACTATAATATGTTATATGACTGAAGCTTACATGTTGGCGGCACTATAGGATGTTAAATGAAAACAAACATCAGCTGTTTTTTAAAATAATGTCCTATGATTGTTAACAATTACTGTGTGTGTATATATATATATATATATATATATATATATATATATATATATATAAGCCAATATTTAATACTGTAGGTGTGCAACAGCGCAGTCGGCCTCCTCCCGTCAGTTTTATTTGATAAACTCATGAGTTTTAGGACTCACCAGACACCGAATCACTGCACAGCAGTTTGGAATATTATTGCACTGGATTTGACAACTTTGGATCCCATCACGTCAAAAATATGGTCCTGCATGTCTATCATCAGGTGAAGGTGTTAAGTAATCTACATAGTACAATGTATTTGATTGGCCTACACAATGTTTTTTCCAGACAATGTTACAATTTTTTGACAGAGTAGCCTAATTGAAATGTATATGGGGGCTGTGTTTTTTTTTTTGGGGGGGGGGGTTACGCTGTTCTTTTGTCTTTCTGAACACGGTCTAAGGACAATTGCTTGAAGCTGTCGCAGTAGCGCCAAAACACAACAAAATGAAGACAAAGAGCCAGAGGTAGAAATGATAAAGTTCTCCATCAGGGGAAACAGCCAGAGTGTGTTGGACCAATTGCAGACAGAATATGTGGGATACTGTATGGAAAATGTTTCAGACACCACTCCAAAGTCCATACGCCACTTCACTGTTCCTGCTTAGTCCGTTGTTTCTCTCCCGTGAACCTGCTCAAAAATATGCAGCCACTTTAACGTTCTTCTGTTTGCGGTTCCTTCCGGTTCACAGTGTGATTATTTGATCTTATCCGAGTAGGAACTTTTTCACAAGCTCCCTCCCACTGTTTGCTGTTTTGTTAGAGTTGCACTCATTAGCAGCAATTGTCTTTTTTTGTATTTTAAATGATTTGTTGCAGTACCATACAATGATATCATTTTAAATGATACAAAATTATTACTGTAAATATGATCATCGGTATGAGCAGGATGTCATGTTCTCACACCGCCTTAACACTCTATAAAACAAGCAGACATCACCTCATAACTCTGCCTCAAACAAGGGTGCGTTTACAACAGAACAATACAATATATTCAGCCGTTTTGTATCAAAGATTCAATGTTTATCTTAAAAAAAAGCACTTGTTAAAGCAGCACACACTCAGTAACTGGGCCGAATTTCCAGTTTAGCATCAACGTGTAGTCTCTGCTTCATGAAGCGTCAATGGGATCAAAAGCCAGACAGGTGTGACAGTTAAGAGATCCCAATTATATATCCCATAATACAATGCAGTCATTAGCGAGCAGGTTGGTGAGTCCGTCCGTAGGTGATTGGTCAGGTCTCCTCGTTAGGTGATGTCCAGCCAATCGGGCCGCTTGTGGGGCTTGCAGGTGTGAACATCCACCAAGTCCTCGCAGTGGCTGCACTCCACGGCGCAGCACCACTTGAATTTGCACTCGCACTTGGTGACACGTTTGACGCGCATGGTGTCGTAGCCCCGCCCACAGCACATGACCTCGCAGCCGTCTGTGCCTCTGGAGGACTTGTTGCACACTCGGCCTGCTGTGCCCAAGGAGCCTGTGAAGAAGAATCTACATGTTTGCGTTGGAGAGTAAATCATAGTTTTCTTCTGGCATAGGGAAACATCTCATTTGGTTCACAGACCTTTACCAGCGCAGCACGCATTATTACATGAAAATATACATTTCTAGTCTGAAAAAAATGTATGCTACATTGGAAAATGAGTGTTATTCCTATAACTTTAATGTTTTCATATTAATAAAAGGTTTTTTTTTTTTTTTTAAACATTCAACTAGACAAACCATGATTACAGCCTTACCCTAAAACCATTTTAACCAACAATTAAGTACAGTTGTGTAGCTTTTTAATGTTTAAAAAAATGTGTATTTTTTGTGTTACAAAAACACAATTCTGGTTGAGCTGTGGTTGCATACAAATTGCTTTGACATAACGTAATAGCAGACATTTGATCTTGCTATTTACATTTCTTTTTTTGGGTACAAGCTGCCATTGGCCTCCTATTTCAGCTGGCATTCTCCTCCCGCTAACTGTTTTTGCAAGAGCACCGTCTCTGCATTTGTGCCCAAGACGATTGTGATCGGTTACAAACAAGCCAGAGCGTTTTCCCCCTATACCAGAAAGATAATGTGTGGCTCCACACCTTTCTTTAGCGCTGACACATCGCTGTGGAGATAAGTCAGGCTATTCAAAACTAAATGTCCACTAGCTATTTGCTAGCTCTGTCTCTCTGGAGTATCTGAGTGTTGTGCTGAAAACGGATGCATGCTGCTCCTGGAAATGAGGTTCATGAGCTGAGCCTGTGAGCTGGAAAGCCAAAATATAAAGGTGAGAGAGGCTGTAACGCTCTGTAGAGATGAGGGGGGACAGCAGGGATGGGTGATTTCGCACTACACATGAATGTTTGATCCAGTGGCGTTACAAAAATAGTGATAAGTGCCGCTTCAAAGGAATCAGAACTCTATTTTTGAAGTGTGAACAACATGCACCTTTTCTATTGCACATACAGTAACTCTATAGTCACTGTTCTTCTTCAGTGGTTGTTTGTCCGAGTCACATATCAGCTCAACTTAATTCCTTTTTGGAAAACCTCCAGTGAGCACATACTGTAGATGTCCAGAACTGCTAATCTTGGCAGTTGACCACCTCTGAACACCACGGTGAATATTTTTGATGCTGAAAACTGAAACAGTTTTTCCAAAGCAGAATTTCCACACTCCTCGGCAGGGTATTGGCTTACAGACACGCTGACAGAACAGTCTCGGAGAACAAACACAAAGATGTCCATGCACTCGGGTGTAAAGTCTAAGCCTAAGATCAAATGCCATGTCTAATAACAGAGCGTTCCTGAAGCAAAGAAAAAAAGGATAAGAGGAGCTATTCCCCTCAGGCTCTAGGGAGTGGAGCCTAATACTGACCAAAGGAAGGATTTGAAAAATAAGCCTGCATGTATCCTTAGGCTATGAATTCCTATACAATGGAGATTAGTGGCGAGGAGGGTCATAAGCTTCTTTTTAAGATCACCTTTTAACAAGGAAAGACGGCCTTTCCTTTGAGCGAACACACCTCCATTACCCCTCAGTTGTCAAGCTGCCACCAAGCTAACAGCAGGGAGGAGTGGGAGAATCTGGCGGTACCGTCATGTCCCCCTGCACATGTGCACTACGCTACCTTACCTAACCTATTAACAGTGAGCTAGTGAACTCCTTCACGCTCTATTGAAGGGGGCTGGGTTGGAGGAGAGAGACAGAGCTTAACAAGGTAAAGCAAACACTAGGAATTAAAGGGGATGTGAAAGGTCAAATCATTGAACGGTAAGCTGTGTAGGAATGCAAGCCTCCACTGGACGAGCCTCTGATTCTCAGAGCTTTTCGAAGTGACCAACCACCTGTTTGACTCGTCTCCTAACAATATACTCAATTGTCTTTTAATTGAAAATTGGAAACAAATGTATTAAATGATTGAACACATCTGAATCTGAGAATATAGATTGACGGTGTTTTGCTGACCTCAATAAAATATGTCTTAATTATGAATTATTCCACATACTGGGGATGTCTCAATCCAGTCTTTATGATCAGGATTTGGATCATCTCTACCACGTACAATAGTTTTATATTTCATAGCAAGGTACCCGGGACATTATGTCGGCTAAGAGAGATTGCCGTTGGCTTTATCAGATAAACGTTGGTGCTTTAAAGGGCTGATGACGTGTAATGTATTGGGCTGATGACCTGTAATGTGTTGGGCTGATGACCTGTAATGTAATGGGATGATGACCTGTAATGTATTGGGATGATGACCTGTAATGTAATGGGATGATGACCTGTAATATAATGGGATGATGACCTGTAATGTAATGGGATGATGACCTGTAATGTAATGGGATGATGGCAGAATTCTGGTGGGGAAAGTCAAAAGTAGAGCCATGCCAGTGTGTTTGGTGATATTGGCTTATTCATACATGTTGACCGAAAATGGACCAAAGAAAAGGAATTTAGAAACAGTGACATAGTTTGTCCACCAGAGGGCACTGACAAGTGTCTCAGTACATATCTTGGTCACAATTCTTACAAAACAAAGTCAATGGTTCTTCATACAACATTGTTTGTTTATGTTATGTTTTTTATGTAAATACATATTTACTGGATTTCTAAGCTCACAAATATCTCCAAACTTAAGCATGGCTAAATACCAAAAAGGACGCTTGGGAAAACGTTGCGTAACTTGAGTTAATGAACTCTTTTAAAAATGATCTTGATTTAAATAAGAGCAATGAGCTCACAGCAGTGTATTATTTAGTAAATGTACAGCCACCACTGTCCTACAGTCTTTATTTCCCTCTTGTTATTCATGTGCAGTATCACTAGAAATGTTCACTATTTAATGAAAATAACGATCAAACTCCACAACGACAAAAACCTCATTTCTTCCTTTCTTCACTCACCTGCTGAGCGGTCCGTGAGACAGTAATCTGGTGAGTTCTCGACGTACACCAACTCATTCTTGGTGCTTCCCTTGAAGTCCTTGTCAGCCACCATGAAGCCCGTCCCGTCCTGGTTCATGGTCACCTCGATGGCTGTGTTGTACTTCTTGCGAAGGTAGTCTCCCGTTCGCCTGAAGTCGGACATCGCCAGCCAGCAGGTCCTCAGAGAACAGGAGCCACTGACCCCGTGACACTTGCACTCCAGCTTCATAAAGCGCTTCACTGCCTAGAGCAGAGGTCAAAGGTGACAGGGTGTTAAGCCTATGATGTTGCCCACGGCATGATATAGGTGTGATCAGCTCTGCTTCCCTCTGACTGGAGTTTGCTTTAAGTTCTCTTCCTCCAGAGACCTTCTGAAACAATCTTGTTTGTGTTGAACCTGAAACAAAATCTAATCTACCGCTGAAAGCAAATTCATAGTATGTATGTGTGTATATAAATATATATATATGGGTAGTATAATCCCTAATAATATATCATAATTTATGTTTAAGACGTGTACTCTGAATGTTTTAAGGAGCCAGAGTGCATCAAAATATAGCTTGTTTATAAAAAATATATTCTCCTACCGAAGCCACGGAGCCCTCCCACGTAACGAATCCCAATTTAACCCCTGCTGCTCACCATCCGTCCGCACCGGTTGTTGTGCAGGTTCATCAGCGCTCGAGCGTCTTTCACCATCCTCTCTCGAGCGTCGACGAACGCCTTGGCAAATTTGATGCCGTAGTTGATGTTGTCGCTGCAGCCACCCCAGTCGAAGATGCCCCTGTCGTCGCTCGATCGCCCCCGCTTGTGGCCGTCACAGTTGCAGATCTTTAGCTCCCCCTGACTGCAGGCCCTGGTAATGGCGTAGACCACTCCTGCCGAAGAGATTGCGTACACGAACGCTGCCTCGCGGCTGCCTGGGTGCGCGGGAAAGAGAGGTGTTGTAATGAAATCCTTCGGAAAATTTGTTATTTTGAATTTGTTTGCAAATTTTCTTACTGACACTTTTCATTTTGACAGTGTTGTAAACGTTAACGTAAACCGCACCACAACTGGTTTTGTTGCTTTCTTTGGTGGGATTCAAGCTGTTCTTTTAGTTCCCAAGTTCACCGTGTTGCTGCTCAGTAAAGCAGCCTTTCTCCAGTATATTCCTGACAGGAGGAGCACAATAATCATTCCATTTATGGTGGATGGTCCAGACAGTGGTAGAAGCATGCTGGCTATAACACCACAGTCTACCTCACTCTCCTATCAACTTTTTTATTTTGCACAGATGGCAGCTTTCTCAGTCACTGGGCTGTGTTTTCATTTCAGACAAGAGGAGATTTTGGGGGTTATTTGGTCTGGCTTTCCCACCCACCTCCTGCTCTCATTCCTGCTCACGCAGTGAAGCAGGACACAGGCGATATGTCAGGGAGTAAAGCTTTGTCTGGCTGCCAGAGACATCTACCCAAATATTTACATCTCCTATTACTGTTTATACATCACCAGTGTGGATCTCTCGATCTGCTACTTGTTTTCGGAGAACATCCACTTTCCCAATCTTCCCTCATTCCAGAGAAGGTGAAAACAAAAAAAAAAATCCAACACTTTCTCTTTCAGTCTGAATTCTAGGAACGAGTTGATTTAATAAGACACCTATTAATTCTCTACTTATCCGTTAACAGCAGAGGCATTTACAAGGATGATTAACTCGAGTGTCTCCGACATAAACAACCACTGTCACGCACGCACAAGGAACCACACAGATAGAAAGCCCCCGTCACAGATGTGCAGACTCACTTCGCAGCATCACCCTGCCAAACACAGTGTGGTCCCGGTCCAGCGTGCTGCAGTTCCAGCGGTGGTGTCTGAACTGGTGCTGGCACTCTTTGATCCACTCTTTGGCTCCCTCGCCGAGGGACTGCATCAGGTCCGGGTGCCGCTGGCACAGCTGCCGCTGCTTGTTCACCAGGCCGGGAATGTTGTCGCAGATCACCCGAGCACCCAGCGCTCCGATGTACCTGAAAGACACGGTATTGATCGTGATAGGTTAAAGGGGCACTCCACCAATGTTACACGTAGTGTTTATTCGTCCTGTGGGCCTATACACGCCTTAGCCTGTGCAAAGTGGAGCACTGTATTGTGGCTCTGGAGGAGTTGTGTCAAGTCTGAGAAAGTAACCCATGATGATGTCATCAGGGTTATCTCAAGGGTTCACGCAGTGTGGGTAGAATGGGATTTGGTAGTGTTTGTGCCTTGTTGCAAGATGGTTATCTCATTTGCAATTGTGGAATAAGTTGTATTGGTTTTATTTTATTTAAGTGTTACTGTCAGCGATGGCGATTTTGTAGACATTTTGTCACTGGTTTGTTGACCTTTTTGTTGTTTTTTTGACCAACTGTGAGATATTTTATCCGTCATAAGTTCCTGATAACTCCAACTTTGTAGTTAGTCATAGTTCCTTGTCCTGACCAAGAAATGGTCAGAAACATTAGCCGCCCGCACCCCCCAACCCTCTGTAAAGTGGCAATTTCACTTTTTTACACTTTTTGTAGTGTTTTCTTTTTGTAGTACACAAACAAGACACTATGTGTTAAAGAAATGCAGAGGTGATTGGAGGTGGATTTTGTTATTTTTGGACTGAGCCAGGCTGGCTGTTTCCGGTCTTTATGCTAAGCTATGTCAGCCGGCTGCTGTTTGTAGCTTCATATTTAGCGTACAGACGAGAGAGAGAGACACATCTTCTCATCAGTCTCTCGGCAAGAAAGCAAATCAAGTTATTTCCTCAAAATGTCGAACTTGTCCTTTTAAATCGAGATTACCCGATTGGCCTCCTGCTAGTGTGCCTACATTTCTTCACATCCATACCTTTGTCTTGTCGAGACTCAGATATTCAGGACGTAGAAGAGATTATTAAATTCCTCACGTTCAGTGAAAAGCATCTCTTTCCCTGCGACGGGCCTTATTGCTTCCTGCTCCATTCAGACATAATCCCGTACTTTGTAGCAACTCTTAAAAGGGCGGATCACATGCTGGTGGTATTGTGACACTGGGGGGGGCTCTCTTATCAACAGAGGACAGTCATCAACAGTGCAAGTGACCGCTCAGCCTTTCCCTCCCAGCCAGACAGATCAACCATATGTAGGCGCAGCCCTCCCCCCCCCCCCCCCTTTCTCCTGCCCCCCCTCCCTAAACCTGAACGCTCCACTCTCCATCCGGATATCATTATAGGCCCTAATCGCAGCCACATTTGTGTCGCCTGGCCACCGAGACAGAAACGGACGTAGCAGGCATTTTCCACTCCCGTTATGGCTGCCCCGGTCCCGGTCCCGGTCAAACTGCGACTATCTGCCTGAGCAGTAAAGCAGAGCAGAAGCACCACTTATGTTTATTGTGCGTTGTACATGCCGGCTGTGCCAAAAGACCCCTGACTGTCTCCGAGAGGACACACGCATAGAAAGGGAGAGGGAAGTGGGTCCTGTGTAGCAAAGGCACATGGGGCTCATCTAAATTATCGCAATGGTTAAAAATAGGCCCTAACAATATCAACCAGGATGAAATAAGTATTAATCATCTCGACACCAAGCTCCCAAGACTCTCCTGCTCTGTCTCTCTCAGTTTCTCTGGAATTTGTCAGTGATTTAATCGCATTTTTTTCACAATGTATTTGCAAAAGGGATTATTGCACAATGGAAAATAGGATAACGTATGCTTTTGGCTCTCTTGGGACATTACCATTCACGTCGTTATTTACAAAGGGTGCATTTTTTTTAATCTAAATCCATCTTGTAAAACAGAGGCTAATTGTTATGGGGGTGCAAGGCTGCACATGAAGGAAGAAAACGTAGAATTAGAACTGCTTGTCTGCGGTTGGTTAAATATAAAGTGGGCCACACATCAAATACAATTTCTGTAAGTGTGGCCGACACATGAGACCAACTTCAGGTGGGTGGGATGAGGGGGTGCATATCCTCCATGTTTTGGTTTTTTCACCTCTGAGCATTTAAAACCTCAAGAGAATTATCATCAAGGGGCATTTATTCATGCACCAGTGCCAGCACCTGCCACTTGCTTCTGGCAAGATGGATGGATAGGGGAGATCCCCCAACCCCCCCCCCAACACCATTCATCTTAATGAACACGTGACACACATTACTGCGCCAAACATTTCAATTTGCATTGATGTTGAAAAAATAAATAAAAATAAAACAAGAACAAATTCCCATGCAGAGGTGACCTAAAATGAATGTGTTCCATTCTTAGCTTTTATTGGATATAAATGTTTAACTAAATTGTTGTAGTTTCTTTTGGCAAAACCCAGGTGCCTTAAAATTAAAATTACGATTATCCCTTTTTTTCTGCGTTTTTAACAGGATAGTTTTCCATCTTTATACCTGACAGAGAAAAAACATTCGCGGAAATGGTAAACTTGAGAGTAGAATCTAAACATTTTGTTTTGCATCAAAATGCTTTTCTATAAACTTTTCTATAACTTAACTTAGACTATTAGTTTTATAGATGTTTATGTAATTAATAACAAATACATCGTGCTTGTAAATTAAACGGATCTAAACATCAGCAGACGCGCTGTAAAGAGCTCACTCACCACCACGATGAATCCACCCTCGGTGTGAAAATCAGCAGGAGCAAAATAAAAATGAAGTAAATTTTGATGGGTTTGGAGTGATGTTGGGTTTTTCTCCCATTTCCGCTCCCCATCGCCCTGCTGCTGTGTGCTACGCTCCGAGACTTCATCAGACAAAACATGTTTCTTCCTTTCATGTGTTGGCAAAAGCTGCACAATCAGGTGTGAAAGTCCTTGACGCTTGTCTGCCGTCCATCATCTGGGATCAAAAAGAGCTTCACGTGGAAGGAAAGTGCTTAAGACTCCACCGGTCAACATTTTAATAAAGCCAAGCAGATTTTCCTTCTGTATCCATAATCTTCAGCAGCGTCGGTGATCATGAGCAGAATAAGTCCCGTCTCAGATGTCTCTAACGGTCTTGTATCAGCAATAATTGAATATTCAACTTTTCTCCCCAGTTTGTTGCGCACTGAATTTAATACCATTAAAGCTGCGGGGGGGACAAATCCGATGCTATTTAACACGGTGGCGAGGTCGCTTAAATCAGAGGCGCGTCAAGTGGAAGAACCGTTTCCGTGGATCATTACGCGCACCTTTCCTCCTGCAGCCAGGAATGAAGATGCGCACCGTAACGCGCAGCGCTCCGCTCCAGTGTGTCAGCTGTCTGTGACCCCCCCCTTCCCCCCTCCCTCCACCCCTTTGTCTGAAAATGACAAATAGCGGTATGTAGACCAACAGACAGCAGGGCAGGAGATGTATATATTTAGTTTGATGGAAAGTAATTCTGCCCGGGATATCTACGGAGCAACGCATCCAACTTGTTGCCATTTCAAGACAACCGTTACAACACAGCCTGGCACAGTGATATTCCTTTAATGTGTGCCTGCACTCCCCTACCATGTCATTAGCTCTAAAACATTTGTGGGCTTTTTCTCTTTATGCCTTGGCATTTTGTGCCGTTCATTTTATGATAGGAGTATTTATCTAATAGGAATATTGAGTTCAAAACCCTTTAGGACTGTGCATAACACACTTAAACTGAACCAAAGAGCATCCTCGGGCATCCATGTTAAATACATACTTTATTCACAGAGATTATGAATAGTATCGATACAAATGTAACCACTAGACCGAACATTGGTGTTTCCGATGAATAAAAATGAGGCAGGTAAAATGAACAATTGTGTGCTTTAGTGGACAGCCACCCTTTTGTTGTGAAGTGTAAAAATATATACATTATGAAGCCGTGGTGGGCCTAGGCTGCAGGTAATTCATGGGAAACACTGGATTAGTCATGGAAAATGAGAACTGTGGAAGTTTTCCCTTTTGTATCAAGCTGCAAGAAGTTGACGTGTGTGAATTTTGCGATGTGACCGTTGTGCGTGCTCATATCGCAATGTCGATGCTGGAATGATGCACCCTGCAGCTCTACTTGCCCAATACAGTATATCACAATGGACTGGAAGATACAGTATGAGGAAAGATTTTAATGTGAATTTCCCCCAGTTCATGTTGAGGTTGGAAAAAGGGTGGAGAAAATACATTGTCCTTGTAATTTATCTGTGTCTGGAACCAGATTTGTGTCCCATGTAACTTGTTTAAAGATACAACTCCACATGCAGTAGTATAGTAGCATCTTACATTTACATAGCGATTGACTTTTCACATGTCTTATACTGTATATCTGGCATGTGAAGTAATGCCTGATTTCTCCAAGTTTGTCATGAGGCCAGATATATTCCTTTTCCAAAGATGAACAATACGTTCTAAAAAGTTGCCTTCATGCCATATGACTTGGGGTGGGCAGAGTAAATACCCCCCCCACCTATGGCATGAAGGCAACTTTTTAGAA